ATAACCCTGATTGATATAGAGACCAAATGACAGAACCGTATTCTACTAAAGACCGCACAAGAGCACAATATAGTACTTTAAGGCAGACTGGGTCAGAAAATTCCCAACAATTACGTTTAAGGAACCCAAAAGTTCTTAAAGCTTTATTACACACTACAGTTATGTGTTCTTTGAAAGACAGATCATAAGAAAGCGTAACCCCGAGTATATATAAACATAATGAAATAAAAAAAATTGTATTCAAATAAAAAAGATTCTTACATAAGTATTGAATGAAAAATAAATTTGTCTCTTTTAAAAACGTCAATAATCGAATAATTCAAAAACTAATTCACTAACTTATTTGAATCAACCTCATAAACTGTGTTTTAATTATTTAAGATAAATACCTATAATTTATTTATAACTTTTCACAAAATGCATTATCTAAAAAAACTTTAAAATTATCGTACACTTTTTATTATATTTAAATTGAAAAGGAAAGAAGGTAACTCTTTTAAAAGTATAATAATTGAAACTTCAAAAGATTTACACACAATAAAATGTAATGTCCGTTAAAAATAAAGTTACAGCATAAAAACGATATCAAACGCGAACATACACCCCTCGTATAACGATCATATACGAGAGGGACCATTCCCTGGGCCAAGCCCAAGAGAGTGTCTCCCGACACAACAATTTGTGCGGCTTTAAATAATAGAAATAAAAATATAATTTTCGCTGTATAAACAATTTGGCCTAGGTATATTGCTTAGTTTCATAATTATACATTCCTCTCTCCTACTACAATAATATATGAACAATTATTTATTTTAATAATTATATCCATCATTTCTAAGTGTTCCAAAATCGTATTGTTTGCTTCTTATCTTTCGGTTTAGTGTTTTCAATAAAGAAAAATCATTACATGAAATATTTCAACCTGTATATATAATAGCTGGTTTTTTAATTCCACCAAGCTCAATATTTTTTACCATTCCCTTTATTTTCTTGCATCCTCTGTCTCCCATTTACTCTGTGATTCCCTATAAGTATTATAAATTACATTATTTCTATACCATATTTTTACAATACTAACTAGTTCTACCTTATCTCTATTTACACTATCAATAAAATCTTTCTTTTCGTAATAGTTTATATCTGTCCAAGTTAGACATTCCACTTTATTCCAACTTGGGCCTTCTACGTTTTTTGAAATGTGCATAATGACCCCTTGAATGACACCGATTTCAGATAACACTTATCACAGATAATCCCCTCCTTTTTTTTTTTTAATTTCTCTGGAGTCCTTCTTGGGTTTATTGGGCCCCTAAGACCATCCCGTCTTACAACCAAGATTCCATCCTTCTCTCTCTCCAACGTTAGATTTTTCCAATTGGAACCACCTCACATCTGTTTAACATCCTTTTTTATAACATCTTCCCAGCGCATTCTTGGTCTTCCCAAAAGTCTTTTACCTACAGAATTTTGTTCAATCACTGCACGTAGTAGCGGATTTTGGTTCCTCCAAGCATGGACAGCCCACCGTAGTCTTTTTCTTCTGATAACCTTCAATATATCCGAACCACTAAATAATGTTGCCAGCTCCCCAGTTATTTCGTCCTTGACTGGGCCATACATTTTCCGCAACACTTTTCTTTTAAAGACAATGAATCCGTTTTCAAGTGGCCATGTTTCTGATCCATACAATATAACCGGTCGTATCAGTGACGTATATAATTGCTCATTCATTCTACGCGATATTGCTCGAGAAATTAGTACCTTAGTAAGTCCAGAGTAACATTTATTCCCAACTTGAATTCTCACTGCTACCTCGTTTGCTACATTATTTTTTCAGTCAAAATAGTACCGAGGTATTTGAACTGTTCAACCCTTTTAAATTCATAGTGATCTATCTTTATGGACTGACAAAAAGGTAGCCCTTGTCTACTCAAAAACATATACTCCGTTTTTTCTTCATTTACGTATAGCCCTACTTTTGATGCTGCTTTATACAGTCTACTGAATAATATCTTCAACCTATTTTTACCATTCCCTTTATTTTTTTGCATCCTCTGTCTCCCATTTACTCTGCGACTACCTATAAGTATTATTAATTACATTATTTCTATACCATATTTTTACAAAACTAACTAGTTCTACCTTATCTCTATTTACACTATCAATAAAATCTTTTTTTTCATAATAGTTTATATCTGTTCAAGTTAGACATCCGACTTTATTCCAACTCGGGCCTTCTACGTTTTTTGAAATAGTACATAATGACCCGATTTCAGATAACACTTATCACAGATAATCCCCCTTTTTTTAAAATTTCTCTGGAGTTCTAGATCTTGTAAACCTATCTGTACTATTTTCGCTGCTATACCTTTGATTTTTATAACCTCTATCGTAACTTTTGTCTCTATAGTAATTTCTATTACTAGATTTTCTTTATAATCTCTGTCTCTTGAGAACGATCTATCCCTTCTCTGTCTCTCGGAAATCACCTATTTCAATATGATCTATCCCTTCTGCTTCTATCTGAATCTGAATCATACTTCCTGGGAAAAGGATTTTTACTTCTTATTGATTTGCCTTTCTCTTTGTTTATTTAATTGTGTCACTTGTCTATTTATTATATCTGTATATTCATTTAAATCAGGCCCACGACTTTTTGTTCTAACTGCATTAATTCAAATTTTTTTAAATTATCTTTTAATTTCTCGTAAAAAAAAAATACAAGAAAAATATAGTTGTGCTTGTTTCTACTGACCAATGTATAAAAAAATTGAAATAATAAGAAATTATGACCAAATAAACAAAATATTTGTTTTTATAAAAAACTTAATTTTTATTTTACCGTTGATCTTATTCCTTTTTTTCTTCGTCTGAATACTAGAAGTCATTGTTTTCTGCATTCCGCCTTTTTATGAGAAATTAAATAGTTGACCATTTTCGGAAAGTGCGACAAATTCAGCGTGTGGTTCACTTTCTTGACGGGTTTTTTACTCTTGTCGTCGTACTTGACTTTGGGCGACACTTTGTTTATCTCGATCACGAATTTATCGATGACAACGTCGGTTGTGTATATTTTCTCGTTGTCCGTACTAATCATGCAGAATATGATCTTTGCCAGTTTCCTGGATATCCTATAGAACTTGTTCGCCGCCATCGTTTTGTCTATTTCAATATATTGAGACGATTTAGACGGTTCTGACACCGATCTGGCCACCATGGTTAAAGCGCATTCCATAAACGCTTCGACAACTCGGTTGATGTCATTAATGAGGATATCGCGTTCGATCATTTTAAAAGTGATGACTTGATCGTTCAAATTTGCGGCTTCCTTGTTTTTGTTGCACGACTGCGATTTCGAATGTTGTTTTCTGTTTTCTGTCAAAAACAAACGCATTCTCTCTACGGCTAACGCTTGAGTTTCAAGTATGTCATCTTCATTTGACGGCCTGGTGTCTAAGTGTCCGTATTTGAGGTCGTCCCGGAGCAATTCCAAAACGATCAACGACACTTCTTCTTTTTTCTTCGACACTAGAAGTTCCTCCGGTATTAGATTGATCGAGTTCAAGTGTTGCAACCGGTCGACCGTTTTTTGAGCGCCAATTGCAATTTTATGAGCTAGTCTCCTTTTTGTGAATTCGAAGACGCCTCTTTCGATCAAGCTGCTGACTATGTACTGAACGTTATGTTTTGTGTCTGCTTCTTGTTCGATAATACATTTGGTCAGCTGTATGATATCCGCCGCGTTAGCTCTCGGACCCGCCAAAGATTTAGCTTTTTTTATTAAATCCAACACCTCGTTGTCTTCCAATTTGAAGTTTATGCCGTTAAACATAACTTGTTGTATAATGGAAGTTTTGTTTTGCAGTTTATATTCGTCTTCGGCGTTTGAATTACTCTTGTCGTAGGCACCCTTCAAATTTCTGTAATGCATATTGATCGACGAATCCGACTGAGTTTGTATTTTTTCCGAGCTTTTTATACACATAGTCAGTTTGTCCCACAGAAGTTGAGTTTTCTCCAGAAATTGTGCACCTTCTTTGCAAGACTTGAAGTTAGCCCGTAACGCGTCCACGCGTTCCATTAACACGGATGCCGTCGCCATTTCGTTGGACGGTTCAGGTATCGGCTTGGTTTGCCTAGCGTACGGGCATTGACCAACAGCTTCTTCGTCGATGGAATGTTCCATCGACGGGTGGCTTTCTTCTTCTGAGTCGTTTTGGCTGTCGCTGTTTTTATCGTTTTTGCTGGCCGCCAAACATTCGCCCAACAATCGTTCGTTAACGTCTTTTGTAATGTTTTGACTGTTCACTAATTTCTTGTAGCGGTTAACGTTTTTTGCCATCTTTTCCATTTTGTCCGCAGTCGTCATATTCGCTTTACACGCCTTTAGTCTAGCGTTTCTGTCGTCCATCGTTTTGATCAGGTTCAGTCGCCAGTAGTATTTGGCGGACTTGGCTTTCTCTATCCGGTCTTGGACTATTTCCTGTCGAGCCCGATTTAACGCCATTTTCTCGACGTTTCGCTTGGCCTGCAGGTTTGCCAAATTGGCGGCACGTCGATGTTTCGTTGCCAACCTCTCAACCAAACGTGTCCTCTTGTCTTCCGTAGTCTGCGCTAGTACAGATCTTATGTTCTCCACTTTGCGGTTGTCTAACGTCTCCACGTCTTTTAGCGTCCATTTTGGCACGTTGGTCGATGCCTTGTCAACCGCGGTTTTACTATTGACCTCGGCCGTGTCTATCATGTTTTGAAACAAGTACAACAATAAAAAATAAAAATAAATGCATTTACAATTTAGAATATAGAAATTAATAAAAAAAAAAAACCACGTTATACTTCTAGGCAACTATTATTATTTTTAACCAGTCGAATAAAATTTGCCTTGGGGTAAGCTATAATAATGATATCGTATTTTTTCAGATTTATATAAAACTAAACGAAAATCAATAGTCCAATAATGTTTGAAACGTTTCAATGTAGTGCGTGTTTCAGATTACTACTCAATGCGAATATAACAAGCGCTCCCGGTCGAGTTCACTAAATAATCGCCAATACCGTTTGATTTTCTTGTACTGTATGAGAAAGCGAATACTGACTACCAGGCCGAGTGACCATAATAACCAGCACATCCACGTGATTGTCCGGTTCTTCGTACCCGCTAACTCGTTGTTAATATTCACTATTATTGTCCATTTGGCCAACGCCAGACCGAATCCTGTGAACGCTCCGTAACGAACAGCGACAGTTTGACCAAGGCACATTGCTAGCAGGAAACCAACCCAATCGAAAATCAATGTCATCATAAATGCTGTCAGATACATATAGTCCGTGCCGAGTAAATTAGTGTCATTTTCACAAGGGTTTGGAGCGGTAACAGTGGTTAAAACAGTCAATGTTTGTGCTGGTGTCTCCTGTAAATTCGCTCCAATAGTAGGTGGTTTAATGATTCTTTCTGGAAATCTTGGAGACATCTTCTCACCTCCCAAAAGTTTTTCTATTTGAACTTCTTCATACGTAGGCAACTTAGCAAAAACTAAATTGCAGTTTTCACAAGGTGGCGGAGCTGATAAATCTAATATGGGTGGTTGCACGTCATAACGTGGTGTTGATGTTAATGGATACATAGGAATTGGGTGAACGTTATTGATGTTGAGATTTTCTTGTAAATTGGACGGTGTGTTAGTGTTGTTAGTTGAAACATTACTACACACATAAGGGGGGATGTCCATATGAAATTCTGGTTGATGACTCATAGCTGTGAAGTACAAATTCTTTTTCTGCAAATGTAATTATTTAAAGTTCACTAGAAATCGTCGGTTTCGTAAAAAAAGAAATACAATTCATAAAACCGAAACTCTTGATCGATAAAATTTAACTATTTGTAATTTGGTATAGCGTTACCATAGCAACTATTACTTAGAAATTTAGAAGTAAACATATCAGGACCTGAAGTCTTGGAAGGAGGGAAAAATTGTACAAAAATACTAGTTTGGTTTAATATAAGTTTATTCATCAAACGTTTATTTCCAACTCATTAAAACTACCTCATTTCGAACACTTTCAAAATACCATGCTGTGTACCTAATATAAAACAAAAATTGGACGTTAAAAGTATCTTGAATGATATTTGATGATAGTGTTATAATTACAGAATTACATTAGATCATGAATGTTTCTACTTCTACTCTTCTCCCCTAACTTTCTTTTTCTTCTCCGTCCCTCCGTCACAAAATACCACACAGATTTTCGACAAACCCTTAGCCATAAAACTAATTCATGACAATTATACATATATAACGTAAATGTACTCTATGAGAAGAACGGGATAGCCAGTATATAAAATACCTAGATATATATTAATTTTATTGAGTATATTCTCCTAAGAAATCGGTACGCTATATTTCTGGTGACGATATAAATTCGTAAACGCCGTGGTTTCCGTCAGCGCTGTTTAGGATGCTGTGATAATCTGAAAAATAAATTAACTACCAAAAAAAGAGTCCTAATTACTAAACTAATAATTACAAATCACAATTTAATCTTCAAATTAAAATTTTGCAAAAAATTGACTATAATTGTCTATTGACCTAACTTATTAATAAATAGAGGATATAACGTCCTCTTAACACTGGTATCTAAAGTAGAAAAAAAACTTTTTTAAAAACATGATTTTCTAAAAAAAAAAAGTAAAAAGTGAACTAAAAAGTAAAAAGTAATTTTATTACAAGAACAATTTAACAATCCATTGTAGCATATTTTATTTAAAATGTCAATTACTTTGAAAACAACCGAAAATTAACTTCTTTTGTAATTTAAATTTAGTTTAATATTTGTGTGTGACACATAAATTTCATAATACTTAACTCAATGAATTTGGACTTTGTAAATAAAATCACTCGAACATTGCAAAGTCATTGCTGTTAAAACAATTTGCACGGTCCACGGTATAAAAGTACAAAAACAAACTTGTTAGAGTATAACATGTCCATGCAATATTATTACGTTTAATATTATTTATGATGTTGAATTTTGTTGCGGTAATTTGTCTTGTAAAATTAATATACGTTCGAAATCAACAATATCCCAAGTTAATGCTAGGTCAACAGTTGGGTAAATATTGGATTATAAATTATCACTTTTTGGTTTGAAGTATACCAATAATTGTGTATCAGTGTATTAGTAAGCTAAATTAGAGTATATTTTGAAAAAAATACTTTTCGTCGGCCAACTACAAAGTTGCAAGTTTTCAAGTTAAAAAATTTATTCATTTAGCTACAGAGATTACAAGGTCCCGATTTTTTCAAAATCCAATCATTAATCAGAAAATAGCACTAATATCTAAATTTTTAGAATTGGCGACACGATTACTGTTATATGGTAAATATTTATATATTGAATAGTATAATTGTCTTCCAAATTTTGTAATAATATATTTATCAGTCTGTTACTCGATCACCATCAATGATCCTAGGTCTTCTTTTACTGGAGGCTCTCCTTCATTCGTAATCTTCTCCAGTATCATCTTGTACGTATTAGGTATGACGACTAATATTGTATGCCCGATAGATATGATGAAATCGTTCCACAATGTACGAGGTGTATTTTTAGATATCATCTAAAAGAGAACGGTTGATGGGTTGTGAATGTCTTGTGCATTTTAAAACAACTAGTGACATTTATCGTAAGTTAGTTAACATTCAGCCTAATCAATTTATTACCTACTACGTAACGTTGTTTGTGGAAACCTAATGAAAAACCAATACTTATACAGTTTCTCGTCGGAGCTACATTTTTTTTATAGCTAGGCCAAAAATGTATTGAAGTATTTATCGTTTTTAAATTAAAAATATAATAGCATTCCGCATTACTTTTTATAAAACTACATAAGAACATTTCGGTTTGAAACATTGATCTTCATTTAATTTTAAACTTCAGAAATTATGTTAATCAGATTATTTGAACTTTGATCTCTACATCCCACAGCAGTTAGTTTTGAAAAAATAGTAATAAGATTTTTACTATTTAATTCATCGTATTGTTCGAAAAATTAAAATAATTTAGTCTCAGCAACGAAATTTTAACTATTTGCTTCGATCAACTTAATTCATGTGATTAGATTACAAAATCAGTCTGTAGAAAAAAAAAGTATTATAAGTATAAACTTTTAAAATGTTTTTCAAACTTTTGATTTTCATAGGCTCTATCTGTTTAATTTTAAAATTTTAAAAAATAAATCCCTAGAATCTCTTAGAAAAGATAAAAACCCCAATTTCCAAAAATGTCCCCCTCCGGACTAAAATTGTATAAATTTGTGTTGTGATTTAGTCATTGAAATCTTTAAGAATAATTGTATCATAGACCTTAACCTATAAATTGCTAAATTGTCTGCATCTTACAGTGTTACAAAAAAATATGAATTAAGTAGACAAATCTGTTATATACTTCTTTATGACCATCCGGGTAAAAGAAATCTTTGTACATCTTGGTAATTTTTTCTTGAATTTTGGTGGTGTCCTCGTCGAACGCACCGGACTTCTTAACGCCATAAATGATTGAACACATGCCTATCGATTTTAGAACTAATAAACGGACGTTGATCTTATAGGCTTTTAAAACGTCAAGTTTAACAGCGTGATTGACGGGTGGTTTGCAAATATTGATCTTCGACCCATATTGAATGGGAGGTGCCGGAGAACAATAATGTCGATTGGCTTGTGGCCATCTTGAATTTAAACTCTCATAAATGGGCCTTTTTGTGGGTATTGCTCGAAGTTGTTTTGCGTAGTTCTGAGAAAACAATTTTAGTACACCGTACTTTGTGTTCATACTTGCTGAAGAACTTGAAAATTATAAAAAAACAAATTTATAATTATTTATATTGTGTTACATTAGTACCTAATTTAGAATAAAAAATTTTAACTAACGTATTGTTTTTAATTGTGCTGATAGAATTTCAAGTGTTAATATTCAATACGCAAATTCATTGACAATAATCAGAAATTAAACCATAGTTTCTATGGAAATTTTACATCAATAAAATATTAAATTTTGTATTTATCTTGTATTTTAAGTTTCAATCTTATCTGGGTAGAAGGGTAACGTATTATTTTTAATAAATTCCTCCCCTTTTTGTACTCTGCGTGACGAAGAAGTCCTCGGTTACTTCTCTCACTAACTCCTCGTTTGTCCTTCAACAAAAGTGTTCTTTTTTACTTATTAGTTACTCACGATATTTTATCTCCTTCTGAATCTATTCTTAATTTTCGTTCTGTACCTTTAATTTATTCTCTATCACCCAATCTGTCAATGTTACGGCATTTAATGCTTCATGCGTCAAACGTTCAATATCCACCATTTTGAATGTGCTGTTATTTTTTGCCACTTGACTTTTCACTTGAGCCCAAATTAGCTCAATTGGGTTATACTGACAATGGTAAGGTGGCAGTCGGATTACTTCATGCCCTTTCTCCAATGCGATTTCATCAAGTTCATATTTCCTTTCACCTGGAATTATGGCCTTAACTTATTGATGAAGTTTCGGTAATGTCTCATGGGGATGAAATTGAATTTTTTTTTCCGTCAACCATTTTTGGATATCAGCTTTTCTCCAATTATTTCTTGGAAGATTTTCGACAAGGGTAGAGTGGTATAACGCGTTATCCATTACTATAACCGGCGGCTCTTCAAGATTATTAAGCAATTGAATGAACCACTCTTTAAATACCTAGGCATTCATTTGATCATGGTAATCAGTGGAATTTCCGGTGTTGCTTCTAAATACTAACTTTGTCCCTTCTATAAATGTAGGTGTAATGTACCATAATAAACTTTAATCCGATTGAAATGTGGTTTGGCGCATTTTGTTCCTTAACTTACTGACTTTTGAATGAACTTAAAAGTGTATTAATTATGATTACCAAATTAATAATAAATATAGTTTTTTTGAAATTTTTATATAAATACTAGGTATTTTCGTTAAAATGATCCTGAATTTTTAATTTAATTTTAGGTTCATGCATGCGTATGAATATATTTTAACAGAAAAATTTTAAAACTTTTATTTTAGATAATTAGGGTAACCTGTATACTGCGCACGGCGCAAAACCGGAAAGCCAGATCCAAACAGCTGCAACGCCGCCATTTTTAATTTGTTCGATATAAAACTTTTTTGTAAAATACTGAATTGACAATTTCATGATGTAAAAAAAAATCTGAAAAAAACGGCTGTTTACACGACCTGCTCCCCCTTAAATTTAATCACTACATTTATTTACAGCTGAATTTTTTTTCCGTTAATTTAGACTAGGTATATGTATAATAAGTTTAATTTATTTTGCTTTTCTGAGTTCATATGATTTGTACGAGTCAAGTTGAATTTCACATAAAAAACATAGTTCATACTGATTACTTTAATAATTATGTTACTAATTACGGAATACGGCGTGCATACAAATGTTTATAAAAGTAAAATACAGTAGTTGACCCCTCAACTTTAGTCCTGTACTTGAAATGCAAAAAGGATACATTTGATGTATGTATATTTGTATATAATTAGCACTTTACAGTACTATAACCTAGTAATAATTCCAATTTCTACAATCAATTTGAAAATTCATTTTTTATTACTTCTTTGTATATAAACTAAAAAAAAAAATACATATAACTCAATGTTAAACATTTCCAAAACAAAATATACTATTTGACTAGAAAGCAGATTGCACAAATGTTCAAATATAAATTAATAATATTTAAA